GCGGAGCAGAGGGAGTGTACTTTAGGTTACTCATTACAGCCGGCTACTGTAGACGCCTCTACGGAAAACATGTTTGTGCCACAAGTGCCTGTCCTGGTGACTGTGCCCTTTACTCCAGCCCCTTAGCCCTCAGAGTATAAATTCCCTGACGCTCTGAGGAAAGCTGCCTCTCGCACGAGACTTACTCCGCCTCTGTTTTGGGATCTGTTCTGTCAGGTTCCACCTCTATGACATACACCAGTGTATTTTAAACTTGCCTTCATTTATGCCTTATTTTTTCCTGCAAAACAATGCAACTTGATGAAACCACCTACTTCCATGTTGGAACATGGAATTTGGGGTAACATAAATGTGAGGCCATGGTCACTGAAATTTGACCACAAGATAAACTATCTTTTATTCCTTTAAGGTGAGAGCTGTGTAGAAAATCACGTGTGATGGGGCCCTTTGGTCTGCTGGCTTATACTCAACCTTGTTTTTGAGGTTCATGTATATTATAACATGAAGCAGCATATCCTTATTTATAGTTGAATCCTCTTAGACCACATTTTGCTTATCCTTTTATCCATGATGGAATTTGGGTGATTCCAATTTTTGGCTAGAATGAGTGATGCTCATTTTATAAACATCTGGTGCATTATTTTGTGTGTGGACATTTTGTGTGTTCTCCTGTGTGCCTGCTTAGGGGTCAAACTATTTTGCCACATACTAATTGCATGTTTAAAAATTTGAGGAATCCCCAAACTTTTTTCTAAAAAGCTATTTTATTTTGTAGTACTCTCCACCCACAATCTGTGAGGAGTCTCATTTCGGTACATATTATCTGCATGCTTTGGTTCGATTCTTTTCCTCACTTCCTGCCTCTATATAGTGTGTAAAAAGGCATCCTATTGTTTTTTTTTTTTTAATTGTATTTTCCAAATGGCTGATGTTTTGCGATGTCTTTTCATGTGCTTTGGGACATTTGTACTCCTGGAGAAATAGGAAAAATGAACAAATGGGTCCTTCGTTCATTTTAAAAATTTAATTAACATATCATTGAGTTATGGGTTCTTTATTAAATTGGGGTAGCAGCTCATTATATGTGTTTACAAATATTCTCCTTTTGACTTTCCTGATAATGTCCTGGTGCTACAACTCTTTCCCTTGGGTAGCTGTCCTACCTCCTCCTCTAGGCCACTGACAGAGGCCACCAGGAAGTCGATGAGGGTACAAGGCTTCCTTACAGGCAAGGCGCGGGATGGTCAGCAGGCGTGGATGCTGTGAAGGCAGCCACACGGAAGGTCGGCACGCCTCGCCAATAACTCTCCTACAGCTGTGCAGACGGCGTTCTCCACGGAGCCTCCCACCCGTGTCCGCCAGTCCTCCCCCGACCCCCCTGGGACCATGTGCAGCCAGGGCAGAACTGCGCATTTCTGGTCGGGAGGGGCGCTGGACTCTCAGGTCCCGTGACCCTCCGAGATGGGCAGCCACCATGCCCAGCCGTGTGGATCCTCGGCGAGCAGGTGGGCAAACCCCGAAGAGGCAGCAGTTAGCCTTGGAGGCTGGTCCTGAGCAGCTTGTCGTTGGAAACATACTTTTTCAGTTCAGACGAATCCCCATTTCTGCATTTAGTTTGGCTTTTCCTGCCTGAAGCCATTGTCTCGTTCAAGTTCATAAAAACGTATGCCTCCATTCTAAGCGCTTTCTAGTTTTAGCTTTCAGTCTCCTTTGGTGTGCTACAGCACACAGGCAATGTTCAGCACACAGGCACGGGCTTATTCTTTTGCGTGTGCATATTAAGTTGTGTCAGCGCGGGTTGTTAAAAACATCCTTTGGCCGTCCAGTGGTCATGGCGCTTCTGTTCATGCTGTATTTTTTTATTTTGGAATGAGTAATTACAGGTTACTGGTTTGGATTTTTGTCCTCAGGCCAGCACCATGTAGTCCAGTTTTTATTGTTACGACTGTTTGATAGTCTACGTTTCTTGCATTTCTATGTGACTTTTAAGCTACCTTCTTAGCTGTAAAAATCCAAGTGGAATTTTGATAGGGATTGTACATAACCTAATTTGGGGACTGTTTTCATTTTAACAATTTAGTGTTTGCGACAAAGTCTCCCTGTTGACTTATGCTGGTCATCCAGGCTATCTCAAATACATAGTCCTCCTGCCTCAGCCTCCTGCATGCTGGATTATAGGCATGTGCCTCCATATTTTGTTTCATTTTAATATCTTGTAATCCAATGCCATGACAAATCTCTTCCTACAGTTACATTTTCTAGTTTTTAATGTACAAGTCTTGAGTTTGTTTTGGGCCTAAGTGTTATGTTCTTTTTGATGGTACTATAAATTGAATTGTTTTTCTAATTTGTTGGATTGTTTCTTTACTAGCGTATAAATAAAATGCTTTTTGAATATAAAATGTGTCCTATAAAACTGCAAGCCTGGCTTATTATTTTTAGAAAACTTTTGTGTGTGTGTACCTTCCTTAGGCTTTTTGAAAAGTGCCTCTCTGAGGACTTTCGTAGTGCTTCAGATTTTCTACTTATTCTGGTTAGCATTTGGCTGTTTATAATTTGTTCCTACTCTTGAAAAGTAGGTTTATTTTTTCAAGATTTGCTTCTCAGTTTTTGTTTATGTGTGTTTGCTGCTATGCCTGTGCACATAGGCTCTGGTGCCTTTGGAGGCTGGGAGGCGCTGGATTCCACTGGAGCTGGGTTACAGCAGTTATTCCCTGTGGGTGCTGGAAATTAAAAGTCTGTCCTCTGGAAGAGCAGGCAGTCCTCCTAACTCAGCCATCTCACCGGCTCCCAGGAATACCTACCTGTTTGTCTTCTTTTGAGAAAGGTTTTCTCTGTGTGGCTCTGGCTGTCCTGAAACTTGCTCTGTAGTCCAGGCTGGCCTTGAACTCACAGAGATCCACCTGCTTCTGCCTTTCAAGTACTGGGACTAAAGGCCACCCAAGGGGTACCTACTTTTAATAGTTTTTTTTTTTTTTTTTTTTTTTTCTGAAAATAGATATTCTCTTTCAAGCTATGTCTGACATGTAAAGAGAATTCTGTTTCCGGGTGTGTGGTGAATGTGTGCTTGGAATCCCGGCACTGGGAGCTGAGGCAGGTACCTCATGAATCAGGCCCAGCCTTAACTAGAAACACTTTCAGAACAAAACCAATGTCATTAGAACATGGGCGTATCTTAAAGTGCATATCTTACAGAGGCCTGCGCCTCTGGAGATAGACTTGTCATGGAACTCACCATGTAGACGAGACTGGCCTTGAACTCAAGATCTGCCATTGCTACCTTCTGAGAGCCGGGACTAAAGGTGTGCGACTATGGACTTGGTTGGGATTTTAAAAAGCATTTGTAATCAGGTGTGATAGCTTACAGTAGCAATCCTAGGACCTGGGAGGCTGATGCAGGACTGCCCTGAATCTGAGGCCAGCCTGGGCTACAAGACCCTGTTTCAAGAGAATAAAGTTCAAACAGAAAAAGGAAAACTAGATTCACTATCTTTGCAGACTGACTCCCTCCAGTCTTAATTCCCAACGCGTTTGGAATTAAGCCATGCTAGAGGCCTCGTGACACAGATGTGTCCGGTTTGCGTTTGGCTGGACTTCTTAGAGACTGTGTTCACGGAGGTGAGTACCTCTGTTCACGAAGCCGGGCTTCCGCGCCCAGGGCAGCTCAGGCAGAAACACAGTTGTGGGCAGTGAGACAAAGCTTTTGGTTTCTCCATAGAAAGCAGGGTGTGGTTGGCCTGCCTCGGCTCTGTCATCACGCAGCTGTGCTGAGAAACATCTAGGCCAGTCCAGGTTTCCACAGAGAAAAAAAATCTGGTGTATAATTAAAAACAAAACAAAAGAGGCCGAAGCTTCTGGCCTCCGTGAGCTCCGCACTCAGGTACACAGACCCACACAGTAACTAAAACTGAAAAAACGTAATCAAGGAAAAAATACTTCCACCCTGACAGTGCTACACCCTATGGGCTCCACTCCGCAGGATGAACAATCCAATCCAGCGAGCATTTACTGAGGCTAACTGCAAGCCGGAAGGCCAGGACCGTGGCGTCCTGCTCTCCAGTTACTTTCGCCCTTGCGCTGTAAGACCAGCTGTAGGCCAGGTTTCGGGTGCTGGGGAGGTGGGTCGCAGCTCCAAGCTCCTCCAAGAAGCCCCGGACACTCGATCAGGGGGCGTCCTGGGCAACGACCCGCCGGGACCCCTAAGCCGCCGTCCGCCGCGGGCTGCCAGCCGGGCCAGTCCGTGGAGCCTTCCCGGAGTCCCGCTCTGCGCCGGGGAGCCCGGCCGTCGGAGCCACGGAGCATGCGCGTAGGCGGAGCGCCCGCGGCGGGGCTCGCGGGAAGGCGGCCCGGGACGGTGCGGCACGTCAGCAGCGGTGACCCGGCCGGCGCGCGGTGCCGCTGAGTCACACCAGCCCTCGCAGCCCGCGGGCCTCCGGTTGCAGCCGAGGAAACGGCGCGCGAGCCCCGCCGCCGGCCACACTCCCGGGGCTGTAGGGCGGACCCGGATCCGCCCCGCCAGCCTCGGGGGTCACATAAGGAAGACACGTTGTCGGGCGCCCGGTCCAGGGCATCGTGGTGCCAGCGAGCCCGTGCCCTCGAGGGCACCTTGGGGCCTTCACGGTCTCTTCGGGGATCCAGGGTCCGCGCCCTCCGGGGCCGAGGTGTTGCCAGAGTCCCGGGCCCGTCCCGGGCCCGGCCCGGGCCCGGCCCCGCCCGCCGGTCCCGCCCCCGTCGCCCCCGCGCCCAGTCTCCTGCTGGCCACGCCTCCACAGCCCGCCGGCCCCGCCCCCACGGCCCCCGGTCCCGCCCTCGCCGCCTCCGCCGGCTCCGCCTCTGCCGGCCCCGCCCCGCCGGACGCCCGCCCCTAGAAGGCGGCCGCGCGCGGAGGTCGGTGGCATGGGGGAGCCGCGGCGGGCGCAGCACGCAAGACCGTCCCGAGCGGGCTCAGGCACCGCAGGCGCGCGGGCCCGAGGAGGACACCTCGGGGCGTGACGCGGCGAGAGGGCGTGGCCCGGGCTGCCGCGCCGGACGACCCGGCGGGGACCGCGGCTTCCCGAGCCCGGGGCGCACCTGGCGGCGGCGCGAGCGGGCCGGACGGCGCGCTCCGGGGCCCGCGGCGGCGGCCGGAGGATGGCGCAGCAGGCGCTCCCTTCGTCGGCGGAGACTCGGAAGTTCACGCGGGCGCTGAGCAAGCCGGGCACGGCGGCGGAGCTGCGGCAGAGCGTGTCGGAGGTGGTGCGCGGCTCGGTGCTGCTGGTGAGCGCGGCGCGCAGGTGGCGGCGGGCCTGGCCGGCGCTCCGGGACCTCCGGGCGGGCGGGCGGGCGGGCGCCGGGGGGCTTGGCAGGTGCCCGCCCCGCGGCGTGCACCCAGGCGGGCTCCTTCCCGCCCCGCCGGCGCCCGGCGTGGGGATGGCCCCGCGGATGCTCCGGCTGGCTCTGCCCGGCGTCCGGAGCGATAAGGGGTGGGCTCCTCGCTTCTTCCTTGGTACGGTTGACTTTGAAGTGTGGGGATTTGAGGCCAGCAGAGCAGGCCAAACCGAGGTGAACCCCGCCGGCGGCGCTGCCGGGGAACAGGCCTCGGGGTGTGAGGGAGGTGAAGTTTTAACATCAAATTTTCCACAGCCGGGACGGCCCTGTTGCCTTTGGAAAGGAGGGCACGCTCGGACGCTGGGCTGGTGCCTGGAGAGCTCAGCGTGCCGGAGGGAGCGGCGGGGCAGCTGGAAACTTTTAGCAGCTCCTTGCGTGTGTTTTCTTGGAGGGGACTTGTTTGTGGGTGTGCTGCCTTGGTGAGATGGCCTTGAGGGCGACGTCTGGCCTCTGTGGTGCTGTGTGTGCGGGATTGCCGCGAGCGTGGTTTACCAGCTCAGGCAGATGCTTGGCGTTAGTGGACATGGATGCCCTCGCTGGGCAGACAGGGTTGCGTGGATGATGGTGGTGGAGGTTGGTGTCCTTTCCGTGTCCAGTCTGCTCCGCCTGAGTCATTTGCCAGCCTGCCAACTCACCCTGCATTCCCCAAAATTCTGTCTGATCTGTGATAAACAGGGACTTCACTTGCCAGTTTTCTGGAGGTTGGTCAGTTGGAGACCGCACCACAGCCCTGCCGGCCTGCTCTGTGATAACTCCTGCTAACTTGTGTTGCTGAAGCGCCATTGCAGCTTGGCTTTCTGAAGCTGCAGGAGAGCGTAGCTGAAGGATGAAACCTCCCAGCTCCAGGGCCTCTCCTGTCAGCTGGAACAGTGCCCACTCATCGCCCTGTGCCGCAGTCCTTGTCCTGTGTGCTGATGGCCTGTTGACATACGTGCTTCTGCTGGTTTGGTCCAGTGTCACTTTTAATGCTCTGCATTCTCCTTGGACACTCTTAAATATAGCTGGCAGACACCTTGCTGAGTCTCAGTCCTATCTTGTCTGTCTGTCTGTCTGTGGTCATTTGTCTGATGGAGTCTGCGATGAAATAATCACAAAGTACAAGGATGCAGATGACGGTGAGGCAGGGAGGGTGCCTGGCCTGGAGGGAGGAGGCTGGGGAGGAGGCCAGGAGAGGTTCAGGATCCTAAAAATTACCCACAAGCCTCTTCTCCTACCCTCTTCCCCTCGCTGCTCCTGGGTCTGCCAGGAAGCCCCAGCAGGTGCACCTGTCACAGCATCCTGGCCCATCCCTGTCCTGTGAGGCGCTAAGAGGCCATCCCGATTCTCTCGGGAGGCAGCCATGCCTTGGCGTGTCCACGCATGCTTAGCTCTAAGTGCTGATCTGCTCTGCCTTGATCACATGTCCACAGCATAGGAAAGGCTCAGTTTTCACTGAGGACTCAAGGTAGTCTTGAACCTTTGTTTTATCATCTGGACTAAATAATTATCAAGATTCTGCCAAAATTAGTTTATGTGCACTTCTTCCTTCCTTTCCTCCCTCCCCCTCTCTCTTTTTTTTCCCCTTCCTTACTGGTGATTTTGAGTCTCGGGCCTTCTAACACATTTCACCTCCGTGTACCTAGAATTTATTTTTAGAAACTAGGAATAGTGTCTTACATGACTGTAATGCTTTTTTTATGATACTAAGAATATAATGTGTGATTCAAAATTTTTGATTAAAAAACCCATTTGATTGGTTGCTTTTATAAAGATTGACAGGAGTTTTGTAGGTCCTTTGAGGTATGCTGCACTAATTCATGAGCCTCAGGATTATATACTGGAGAAAGACTCCATGAGGGTAGGGTCTAGTTTTTGATCTGTGAGGTTTGGCAGTCCAGAGCATGGACTGTAGTTCTGCCTCTGTCCCTCATCAGCTTTACAGTCGGGCTGAGGCCTACAGTGCAAGCCTGTGCTCTGCCCACTGCTTACATTCGCTTGGTTTGTTACTCTCTTTCTCTGGACCTCGCTCGGGGCCCTTGCTCTGCCAAGCAAGGGTTGGACCAGATTGTTTCTGGAGTTCTTCACCCAAACTCGGCAGGCTTTGATTCTAAGCGACTTTATAAATGTAGAAATAGTACTGGTGACATTCCTGGCTGTACGTGATCTGTGGTTTTCGGTTATGACTGAGACTCTTCACAAATGCAGAATTTGCTTCCCGTGGTTTAGAATAGTCCAGCGGCCTTGGGCCACAGGTTTAAAATTTTTGCCGGGCAGGAATACCAGAACCAAGTCTCCGCTCGGGGTTGAATTGAGAGTGCCTAATTCAGGGCCGTCGGCCGAGTAAAGGGCAGTGTCGTCATGGCCCAGATCTCAGAATATGCCAAGAGTGTATTCTCTTCGAAAGGTTTGTGTGAGTGTCCTGACACTGTGGCTGGGTTTGCAGATGGTCTCAGCCTTGGGTATTGGCAGGCAAGTCATCTGGCTGCCTGTCCCTGCGTCCTTACTGATCTTATCTCTGTATGTTGTTTTGAACTCTCCTTGGATGTCAGGCCCTTGCCAAGCACTGCTCCACACCCCTTGGAGATACAGCCACGTGAAGTGGAGGGACCCAGGTCAGGCCATCCCTGGCCCTTCCTTTGTGTTACTAGGGAAGGAAGGCAGGCCGAAGGCGCGGGCACAGAATGATATCCTGCACTCTGTGCCTTAGGCCTCCCTCGCCGTCCAGCGTTAGCTGAGGTAACCTGAGACCCCAGTTAGGGTGTTCTCTGACATCCTCAGCTAAGGTAAACCTCCTTTGGCTCTGACTTTAAATCAGATATGTCAGTACCCTGACAACAGGCTGGCCCGCGCTCCCCTCCTTGTTCCACTCCACCCTCTGTTGGAGTTCTAACAAACAGAAATGTCCCCACGTACAGGAAGCAGGGTGGAGGCCCATCTCCAGCGTTTAGATGTTAGGGGCAGCGTGGACATGAGTAATACCCTGAATTTGGTTGAATGAGGAGGAAAGAATTTGCGAAACTGTTCCCCACATGTTTACTCTGAGCCCACGAGGACACTGCGGCAGTGGCGGCTCTTTGTCTTGTTAGGGTGTGCATTCACTGACAGGAAGAGGGACAACAGTAAGGAACACCGCTGGAGAGAGGAAAGAGTCAGAGGCCGCCGTGCTCATCCATATCCCAGCACTCAGGACGTTGACGCAGGAGAAGCACCATGAGTTTGAGGCTAGCCTGGGCTACAGAATGAGAGCCTGTCTCAAAAAATCACACACCCAAGGTTGTTAAGAAAGTGCATGCGGCTTGGGCATGGTGCACATGCCTTCCATTTCAGTGCTGTGAGGCAGATGCCGGCAGATCTGTGAGTTCCAGGCCACCAGGACGACGCAGTGAGACCCAGAAAACAAGAACCAAAAGCCCTCCAAACACGGCGTGCAGAGTTCTTTCCAGTGTGAGCTTTTAGTGTCTTAGCGCACGAAGGACTGGCTCTCTTGATAGTGTCGATCTGGAGACAGCGTGTGCGCAGCACGCGAGCTGTTCTCAGGTGTGGGGGGCTTCGCCAGCGGGAAGGGGAAGTCCTCTTGGGCCTAAGTGGAAGGGCTGAGGCTCGCACCCAGGCCTGAAACTTTTCACCCTTAACTCTGAGCCGCCCTGGCCGCCGCCCGTCTCACCGGGAAGCCTGTTCTGTGTCATAGGTGCCGAGCAGCAGTGAACTCAGAGACGCGGCTCGTCCTCTGCCGTTGTCTGAAGGCCTGTCTCTGGTCATGCTCTTTAAAAACTAACCAGATAAAACTCCTGAGTGCTGGAGTCTCCCCAGAGATGTGGCCCCGACTGGCCACACAGAACCGTGGGCCAGAATGGCACACACACAGGGAACCTTAGATGGCGTGAGCCGCACACTGTGTGTGTTGGTGTGTTTGTGTATGTGTGCAGTGATACTACGAGGAGGCCGTGAATCGAGAAGAGGTTGGGGTGGACGTGGAAGGGTTGGGGGGGGAGGGGAAGAGTGGGAAGCAGTGTCACACTTTCATTAAAAATCTTACCAGTCTTCAACAAGTTTTAAAAAGAAAAGCACTTTAGTGGAAGGAGAGAGTCGTTCACAGGCAGCTTCTCAAAGCTGTAGTTACCAGTCCATAGCCACGCAAACATTTGTTCCTGCTGAAAACAGAAAGCATTAACCGAAAATAAATAAATAAAAGCACTGATCAAAACAAGGCCCCGTTCCTGCCTGACAGATTACCCAGCCAGGAGATGTGGTGCCGGCGTGTGAGCGCTCTGGTGTGCAGCACCTTGCACAGTTGTGGGCTCCCTGTTCGCACGGCGCTTTATGGTCTTACGGTGTCTGCTAACAGCTTGCTTTCTTACCGAACCATATATGGCATGCCGAGTGTGCGCTTCGGGCCAGCCTTCTGTGTGTGAACGGCGGCTGTGGCACGCATGCAGTAGACTGCATAGGCGTTTTGTGGATTAAAGGAGAAAGTTCTGTCAGAGGTCCCAGAGCACTGTCCAGGACTCTGATTTAGCAAGTGTGGGTGGGCGGAGCTAGACTCGGTGTTAAGGGAATATTGGTAAGTATGAACCGAGGTGTGATTTCACAGAGCTTGTGTGGCGAAGCACACCGGGAGGGCTGGGAGCAAAGGCCATCTAGCCAGCCACGAGTGCCTTCATTCCAAAGAGAGGCAGAGGGTTTTAAAAACACCGTTTTGGGCAGAAGCATCCAGTGTGATGGAGGACCAGCTTCGTAAGGATGACCTTGAGGGTGTCCTGGGCTGGCACCCTTTGCTCTAGCACACACCTGTCTGCGGGGGCCCGGCGTGGCCCTCAGCAAGAGCTAGGCCAACGAGGGTGATGGCTCACGGCTTTGGGTGTGAGGCTAGAGCGGGTTCACACTCTGCTCCCCCCCCCCCCCCCGGCCTT